GAAAGCCCCGCTGGGCCGCCCTGCGGCCGCTTTTCGGGTTGCTTTTCCCGCCGCCAGCCACAAAGGCCCGTTCGCACACGGACGCGGGGGGCCATTTTCAACCCAAAAAGCACGGCATAAGCGAAGCGGGGACCACCGCCAAGATGACCCGGTTGGGCCCCAGGCCTTGCTCTAATTTGCGCCACCTTCTGGCAAACAGAAGAAGCCGAGGGGCGCGGCTGCAAGATAAACGGAATGCGTTTGGGGAACCCTTGGGGAGGGGCGATCCCGTCGCACAGGCAGTTCAAAAAGCCAAGAAGAAGCACACACACACACACACACACACCCCTTACCGAGCAAAGCGCGGTGGTGTCGCTGCCGGGAAGTTCGGCCACTACAAAAGCGACTTCCATGTGGGCACCGCACGCCCCTACGCAGCGGGAAAAAACAAGCACGAGCCCCGGAAACAGTAAACCCCGGGGTCATCATACTTTGCGGATTCTTGCACACTGGTCGGCGTAGCGTGAAATTTAAACACAAAAACTTTGGCAAGCCTGCCATTAGCATGGAAAACACCGGCGCAAATTTTTTTTTGTTAGCCTCCAGAAGGCAGCGGCCAGTGACCCCAGCAAACAAGAACGACCCATATTCCGCCGGGGGCTCGGCACCACCGACGGCGCAACGGTGCACGAACGGGAACGCGTCGCTTTAACGCTGGCTTGGTCAACCGCCAGTCGTTGGGGCGAAATCACGCTTCTCCAGAAGGAAATTTTAGCGGAGCACCCACGCAAAAAAAGGACTATAACAATCGATTGGGGGCCCTCACAAAAATTCCACAAGAGCGACCCAACGAGAGCGGCACGGCACGTGCTTTTAGGAGGGGGAAGCGCTGTAAGGGTTCGCGCGGCGCCAAAGAGCATTGGCGGCAACAAAAAACCTACGGAACCAAACACCAGCGGCCTGGAAAGCACCCCCGCCCCATACGGAACGGCAGCCCATTCCATCAAAAGAGAAGCGCTGGCGCAGCTTGGAAAATGCGCGGATCCTCTCGAGCCCCCCCCCCTAGCACAGTCTGATGCCTGGGCTGGCGGGCCGCAGCGGCCAAGAAGTTTGGGAGCTAACGCCGTGGATGCGACACGCCGAGAGGAGCGGACCAACCCGCCGTGGACCCAACCTCTGTCGGAGCAGAAAGAAGCACAACCCCCATTCCAAGGCAGCAATGTTTTGCGACGCACGCACAAAACAAAAGTAGCCACACAAGAACGGGAAGAAAAGTTGCCGTTGGAGCAAGTGGGCGTGAGCACAATATCCTTTCCTAGGGCCCGGCAAAGGCTTAATGCCGAGGCTGATCGCCGTTTTGATGCCGTGCGGGGGATCTTGTGTGGCGCAACAACGGCGCCCAAATAGGGTCATGTATTCAATTTTTGTATCTCAGAGTAGGGTGCACAGTTAATTGAAAAAGCCCAGTGTCATAAGCACTGCTACGGTCCATCACATCGCAGGATGGATGCTGCCGTTCGCGGTGGTAGAGGATAAATCGGCAGGTCGGTGCCTGTCATTTTTTACGTGGTCAAAGAAAATAAAACCCCACAACGATTGCGAAGCAGAGGTTCTCCCGGAAATATTTACTAGCATCATAGTGCGGTGTTTGACAAAACAACAACGCTTTTTGATCTCAAGACTTTGTTTTTCCAAGCCGCCTTACCAAAGGACTCACGTGCAAATTTTCTGTCTCGGACGGAAACTGAAACGNTTTTAGAATTAACCCACCTTTCAGTGGGACACAAATGCGATTCTGAGGTGCTGCGCGCCGTTACGAAGGGTTTGGCGGCACCCCCGGGACCGTAGAGGCGCGGTATGCAGCACCGTTCGAAATTCGGGTTGACATAAGAATTGATAACATACGCATCGGCGGGCCACTGCCCCTAGTTTGTCAGAGGGCAAGGCGCATATCGCAGAATATGGGGTGGTGCGGCACCGCAGTCGGTGAGCAGCAGCGCTTTTGTCAGGAATACGATTTCATAAGAGCACACTTTAATCAAGTTAAGCATGAGGCGTCATTAAACCAGATGTCGGCCCGCCGCCCCTTACATGCCAGACGCCTGGGCCAGCAGTGGCGAAAATAAATGATTAACAATGAACCGGTTTGCCAGCCACGCCAGACATCAATTTCCCCAATGTTGGCAACAAACGCCCCCATGTACGGACGACGCGCCTTATTATTAAAGGGTTCGAGGGGGGGGTGACGGCCGGCGGGCCGCGTGGGCCTTCCGCCGCCATCTGGAGAGGCCTCCGCGATACACATAGATTACGCAGCCGTGATGCATATAATGGAAAAAGACAACACACACCCAGAGCCGCTCGTTCAGGAAGCGGCAGCCATCAACAAGGCCTGTTTTTTTTTTCCTCGTGTCTTCACAACTCTCGTCGATGGCTCCGCTCCATCAGCCACCATCGTAGAGGACGTTTATTACTGCTTAATTTCTATGTAGAAGAACACCCCTTTGTTTTGTTATGTGCTTTGTTATTTTTGGTGTTTTTCTGTTTTTCTTCTGTTGTTTTTGGTATTTTGATCTCTGTTTCGTTGTGCCAGTCCATTAAAAAACACGCGCTGGAGGGTCGGTCGGCTCAGTGCTCTCAACGGGGACTGCGAAAGCCTACTTGCCCCATTGGTCTTAGCTCCCTGAGGGGGGAGACGCATTCGGCATGAGATCAACAAAAAAATAGAGGGGAGATGAAGCTGAGAGGGGGAAGAGAGGACTATTTCTGGACCTGTATGGTTGGCGTCGGTTCTGGCGGGGAAGGCCGTCGAGGACAAAACCTTTCCACTGCAAGCAGGTATTCGGCCAACTTCTGCATAAAGCACAACTTCTCCATGTCGCCCCCATCCACCCCAAAGTGACA